GTCATTTTTTATTTAATTTTTTTAGGTTTATGTTCTACTTTGAGTAAAGATCTATCCGATTTTGATTTGTGCATGTAAGACAAATGACCCAGTACCTTGTCTTTTTGCTATGATTTCATTTCATTTCCTTTTTTATTTTAATTTAATTCTTTTTTTCTTTCATTCTTTTGCCAAATATTCAACTTATTTATCATATTATTCAATTGATTAATAGTTTGAAATTGCTATTATTTATATTTATAATTAAAAAAATTTATGATTATGATATCGATGATAATCATAAATATATTATTGGCTCGAAATTATTTGGATAACATTTGGTATCATTTTCAAGATCATCATGTCAATTTAATCATTGCGTTGATCTTATTACCAAGATATTATCACTCTTGAATTGGAATCACTTTATTTTATTTTAAGAATTAAAAATCACTATATTTGGTATTACCAAAAATCAAATATTATTTTGTTTAAAAATAAAAAAATAACTTACATATGGTAATAATTGTACAAGTTAATGATTTTAAAATTATTTAAAGATAATAATGTGCAAAATATTAATAATATTTTATGTATTTCATGATAAAAATAATTAAGTTATTAAATTAATAAATATATTTATTGATAGGTTTTATAATATAAATTATGTTAAAAGCATTTAAATTAAAAAATAAAATTAATCTATTAAAATCATAAAAATATATATTATATATAAAATATTAAAAAAGTAGAAAAAAGCATAAAAATTATTTTTGAACTTGTTATAATGAATGTTAGTTTGAAAATATAAGAATTTATAATATAAAATAATTACACTTTTAAAAGAAAAAATTTTTGAATCCACATATTAAATAGATAATATCAATTATTATTAATTTGATATATTACTTTATTCCAATGATAAAAATTTCTTATTCTTTTAAAGTTCACTCTTCAAGACAGTGATTTAATTACTTTTAATAATCCAAAATCACTGCCACATAGAATTATCAGTGTTTATTAAACATAATGATCTAATTATTATGTGTAAATCATCATAATTTTTAGTGTAATAACCTCGTACCAAACACTACCTTAAAGCATCTTCTCACTTATCTCTTTATTTCTTATATATCTGCTACTTAATTTCAGAGAATTCTTACTCATATAGGAAGGGTTTGTTTTGTAGCAATTAGTTATAGCCCTTGGTTGCCGAAGTAGTAGAGGATTTCAGGGCTTTACCCAGTACATCTTTTCTCTCAACCAGTCCAAACAAGATTTTTTACGTCGACTCAGACGAATTTATGGGATATTACTTTCCCATGATCTCTCAATGGATTTGAACTTAAGCAACAAGAAAAAAGTACATTTTTTTATTATTTAAGCCAACCTTCCGTTGATTTTTCATATATAGTTATTAGTAACAACCAAGTGTGTTTTTTGTTGAAGTTGGAGGTAATATAGTGGTAAGGTACATGAACCTTATAAGTTATATTAAAAAATTAATTAAAAAAAGTAAAATATATGTTAGCCTCTTAATATGTTTATAGAATTAAAAATAGTATATCAAATACGAATTCTAAAACTAATTACTTGTCGAAAAATATTAAATTTGGATAATTTTTCCAACTTCATTCTTTGGTGTATATAAGATGAAGGGTACAGACTTAATCAGAAAGGCATACATGAAGAACAATGGCACATATATAGTAAGCCTTTTGTAACCACTAATTATGGCCGTGTCTCGGTTGCCCAACAATCAGCTGTCTTGTCACTATCATCTATACGATGAGGACAGAGGAAACCACTTGCTGCATGTTGAAATCTGGGTGGTGGTTTTGCTTCTATTAGATTTCTCTGAATCTCTTCATTTACCTTCTTTTCTACAATAAATCCAATAAAAAATAAAAAATAAAAAAATTTTAAACTAAAATTCAATAATCATTCAAAATTTTATTATTTTTTTAATTAATTAAATCCTCAAATATGTAATTTCATCAATTGAGTCCTTATTAGAGGAAAAATTATTAACTATCTTCATCCAATCGATGGGTTAATTTGATGAAAAAAATGTTTAAAGATTTATTTAGATAAAAATAGATATTTAAAAATTTAATTGATGTAAAGTAAAAAATTCAAAATCTAATTGATTGTAATAAAATAAATGACTATTGAATTTTTATTTAAAGATTTTTTTAATAATTTTAGCAAAAAAAACCTGACAAACTCAGAATAGAGAAAGAGAATTAATTAAGAAGAATGTTTCATATATATAGTTATAACTTACCCAAGTGTGTGTTTCCGGTTGAAGTTGGAGGAAAGAGTAGTGAAAGTGAAAATAGTAGGACAAGTATAGAAAGGATAAGGGACATCTTACTGGGCATGTTTGCTGAGAAACTGAGTTTTGGATGAAGCCAATGGCAGCTTGATTCGATTGGGATTCTAATTATCTTGAAGCAGAAAGAGGATTTGGTACTCAATTTGGGCTCATGCTCCATTATATAAAGCTGCCCACTCGTTCATTCCAAGTCTTTTTTTTTAACAATTAGTCGTTGTAAGTTTCGTAGAATTGCTCTTTCTTCTTCTCCTTTTTGAATTTCCAAATGATGATGTCGGCCATGATATTAACGTTTAACAGTAATGAATCTTAATGTTTAACTTTGAGGAATTGAAATAATATTTTACGATAATAATTTTTTATTTTTTAAAATATTAAATTTGTTAATAATAATAAAAATTTTAATGTAAATATAAAAACAAAATTTATAATTATAAATATGTTAATATAAAATATGTCTTCCACTTCTTAATCAAGTAATTAAAAAGACTTTAAAAAAATGTAAAGTGAGAATTTGAATCTCATCATTGTATCAAAAAGATATATAAATATATATATAAATCACTAACAACATTTTTTATTAAAAAAAATTATATCTTTTACATTATTAATATATTATCTTATCATATTTAATATTTTAAATATTAAAATAAAAATCATAAAAAATTATATTTTTCCAATAAAAGATAGATATTAAAACAATAGAGTAAAGATTTTAATATAATAAATTGAAACCTTATAATTTTTTAAATGGTACCTTTAAATTATGAAAAGGTACTTAAGTTATAGTCATATTAATTATTTTGGTACGTAGCAATTTTCAAAGGAAATAAGCATGCTTAAGTATTAAAGTAAAAAAGGTTAGAAAAATATTTTTAAATAAAAATAGATTTTAGAACAATAGAGTAGAGACTTTGATACGAGTAAATAAAATCATCTAATTTTTTACATGATAATTTTAAAATTAATAAAAATGAAAAGATACTTAAACTAACAATTTTAATTATTTTAGCTCATATTCACAAAAAAATGACCATGCAATGTATAGTAAAAAGAAGTTTGATTTAAAAAAAGAGAAAAGGATGTCAATTGAATATTTTTTAATTGGTTTAATAATTATAAGACTCATATATATATATATATATATGTTAAACTTACATCTACATCTTTCTGAAAATATAATAATAATTAACTTATTTATTTTAAATTAAAAATTATTTATAATAAGTAAATCTAAATTAAAGAATAATATATTTGAACACAATAAATTTAAGTTTGAAAAAGCCTAATTAATTTATTTGTAAAGAAATCTCAAAATTATTGAAAAATAATATGTCAAAAAAGTTTTCAAAAGTTGGGAGAATGTATGGCCCTAGTAGACTCTAATGAAAAGACACCTAGATTTTTAATTTTATTGAACAACTTTAAATATCAAAAAATAATAAGCTTAAAGGTATGTTATTGGCTATTAACACATCAAATCTAATAATTTTATATTTGAAATGATATGATATGAAAAATAATGAAAAAATATAAAATAATATGGTTTAAAATTGAAAAAAAATAATATATGGATTTAAAAAAATAAAAAAATACATGTTTTATATTTTATGTATCAACACGAATTGTGATACTATAATTTTTATATTTTTATATAAATTTAACATAAAATAAATACAACATGAATACACAAATTCACTTCTCTTTATTTGTTTTAATTTGTTACTTCTTTTTGTCTTGTACATAATGTTTATATACTATCTTAGCTTGACATATTTTGATCTAATTTTTTAAATTTTGTTATAAATTATTTTAAATATTTTAGTAAATTAAATTTTAATAAATATTATTACCTCCACGAATATCAAATATCAAGATCCTATAACATTACTATAATTTGGCTTACGGAAACTTGGTTGTCATTTTTTTTTCTTTTTCAAATGCAATATCCTTGAGTAATTGATGCTCTAAAATTGGCCAATGCCTTTACACTTAATTTTTCTTACATTTTGGCTTCCCCCCAACTTAGACGTAACAAGGTCTTCGTTACTTTTTTTTTTTTTTTCACAGAGATAAACAAATTGTTGGAAGAGAAATGTGACAAGTTTTTATAATAAAGAAATGTGACTTTCGACGTCAATGTTTGCTCTTCTCTCAAAGTTGATGTGGAAACTCACTTTACATGATTATTCCTTATCTAAATAGAAGTATTCTTCAACGTGTTTTCATTGATTTTTCTAACTTTCTTTAATTAATTCAATACAATTTAATTGCAAAAACAACTTATAATATAATTATAATGATAAGAAAAAAGAAAAAAGATCAGATGAGTTTGCTGTTGTTTATATTTTATTCAAGCTTAAACATTTTATTTTCAAGTAATAGGAGAAAACTGCATCATTAGTTTGTGGTCATTTCTGAAGTTACATTTTATTAGTATTTAATTTTTTTTTTAGTTTTTATTATTTTGAAATTATTTTAATGAATTTTCACTTATATTTTCCTAATCCTCAATTTATACACTTTTCTTTCATTCTCAAATAACATTACCAGATTACCATGAGTAAATAGCATATTAGCTTAGACCCCCAATTTTATATGGGACGATTCGATTTTGATCTATTTTTATATTTGATTTAAATATTTTGATTTGGGTCAGTTTAAGAGTTTTAATTAAATACAGAGCAAAAGTGTCAGATTTCGGAATTTCAAGATCAGGTGCACTTGAGCAAACTCATATAACCACTCAAGTACAAGGAACTTTCGGATACTTGGATCCGGAGTTTTTTCGGTCGAGTCAATTTACAGAGAAAAGTGATGTATATAGTTTTGGAGTTGTTCTTGTTGAACTGCTAACAGGACAAAAACCCATCTCTTCAACACAAGCAGAGGAAGTGAGAAGCTTGGTAGCCTTTTTTCTGCTTACAATGAAGGAGAATTCCCTATTTGACATTCTTGATCCAATGGTAAGGAATAATGGTCCAGATGAAGAGATTATAGCAGTTGCAAAGCTAGCGAAAAGAAGCTTGAATCTTAATGGAAAGAAAAGACCCACAATGAAACAAGTTGCAATGGAGCTGGAGAGGATTAGAGCATCAGAAGAAGCTAATGCTATTGAACAGAGTGTGGATGAAGATTCTGATATAGATGAGATGATCGAACCTTGGGCTATTACTTCTTGTTCAACGTCTAGATCAATTATAAACGATAGTGTAACTCTGCCATTGGATGCATACCCCTAATTAGTTTCCAACAGAACTTGTTAAACTTTCTGCCTTCGGAGTGTTTTTCTCTGTAAGTTATCTGCCTGTGTCATTCAGCTCATCCTTGTTTTAATTTCTAACTCTTTTTATTTCATTTTTCCTTCATCTCGTTACTTTCTGCTCACCCCTCATAGAAGGTCTCAAATGCACGTCTAAGACCATCTCCTTTTCAAATGTAATGATTGATTAGAATAATCTTTTGACGATGGTTGAACACACCAATTCTGAGATTAATAATTTTTGTTTTATTATTCCCTTTCATCTGAGATTAATGATTTCTTTTTTTTTTTTTAAAAGTAATCAAACGCTGGCTGTTTCGGTGTTCTTCTACAATTAATATCCGTCCAAGGATTCATTGGAGATGGCTAGAAATAATTTTTGAATGATTTGATAAGATTGTGGAATTTTTGGTTTTGATACAAAAGAGTAGACTTGATTGACTATTTAATTAGTTTAGCCATCGAAAATATATAATATATATTTTTTAATTTTGTTTATAAGGCAGCTAAGGGCACTCACCTTTGCCAGCCGCTTTTAGCACCCGTTCTCTCAAAAAGCCACGTTATGCTACTTTTTAAAGTTACAAACGGAAACTTTGTATAGCAAGTTGTTAACTTTGTAGCTTTGTACGATATACGATAGTATAAAGACAAAATTATGTAAAAAGGTAGCTTTGTAGGATAAATAAAGAGAAATTTATTCTTCTTGGATTTAGAGACAACATATATATATGTATATATATATAATTTTTTTCCTTTTATCGTATGTAATTTTTATTGGCATATTTCCTTTTCATTTTATACAAAATTCATTTTAAATTCATTTTTTATTTAATTGAATAAAGATAATATATAATATTTAAATAACCAAGAAAAATTGATTGCGTTATAAGGATTAAATACTTCGCTAGTAGTAATAGATTTAGGAATTTTTTTTAGAGATATCAACTTATAATATATAGAAATTATGAATAAAAAATTTAAATAATATATTGTTATATTATTATAAATATGAACGAAGGGATCTCATATCTTAAAAGAAATATAATTGCATCATTGTTAATATTATCAAAATTTTTTTTTTCATATATCTAACTACATAATCATTCAACCAAGAATAAAATTTTTAATTTGCAAATCACTCTGAATTTACAATGTTTACTAAAAAACTATTAACAAATTTATTAATTTTATTGATAAAAAAGTATACACGAGAAAATTTTCCTTCAAAATTTGTTATTTTCAAAATTTTGTAGGGTTTATGGAAACTCTACCTTAAGCCGTGGATCCACCTTGTTCACTTGTAAGATTGAGGTTTAATTTTCGATTAAAAATCTCTTGGTGAATGATTTATAAATTTAACGCAAGTCATTATTGAGACTTGAAGCATGTTCTAACACTAAAATGAGATAGCCTCCCATCACTAAATCTTTTTTGTAAAAAATATATTATTTAAACAATTCACTTTTATTTTTTCATATTTATATTTTATTTTGGTGTAAATTTTAAATAATAATTTATCTCTTTTTTTTTTCATATATATAATATATATATATATGATTTCGATATAAAACCTGATTAGAGTTTTTTTATATATTTTTTTAAAGAGATATATGTTTATATATCAACTTCTTTATATAAAGTATTATTTGTGTGTAATTTACAATATTAACAAAAAATTTTAAGCTAAAAATATTTTTCAAAATTATTCATGATATATTTTTTCTGTCTCATAAATATTATCCTAGTTTAATCTTATTTAATAAAAAAAATTTAGTTTTAGATATGTCATAAATATATATTTTAAAAATAAAAAATTTAAAATGTATAATATTTTAAAATTTTAATTAATACTACTTTATAAACAAAGGCCAAACTTAAAAACTTTCATTAGAAAAAATTAAATTCAAACACTAATAACACTAATAATGAGATATAGCATAATATTTTATGAGTTATTATTCGATAAACTGTTGATAAAGTTTTTTTTAACTTTACAAATGGGATTAAAAACTAACACATATTTTTTTAATTAGTGCTTTTATTTTTTAATATATTTGAATGAATATGTATCATCCTTCTCATTTCACTTATGAAATCTAAAATACTCTATTATCAATGTATTAGCTAATTTTTCAATATTGATTAAGTTAAAAGGTAAACTAGCTTTGACAATGTCAAAATACTTTATAATTTTAATTATTATTTCAACTTTCTTATTTTATATTCATATTCTTTTAGTTGATTTCTTATCCAAAAATATTTTATCTAGCTAAACAAAAAATAATCAGCAAAAAATTATATATAAATGCACTAGATTTAGATTTCTAAAAATTTTTGATTGTAAACTAATTAAAATAAAATTAAAATGAAATAGACTATGTTTAAAGTAATAGTGCCAAAAAAAAAATGGTATGCTCTAGAAAATTAACCAGTTCACTACCTGTCTACTTTAGTGAACTGTATATGTGACTAGGCCAAGAAAAAAGAAAAAGAACTAGTGTATATGAAGGGTAGTTTAGTCTTTATGAGAAATTCTTAAGAGTATTGGTTATTTTTGCCAAAAATTCTTAAAAATACAAAGTACTTTTACTTGCGGCAAATAAATCTAGCGGAAGCTCGGGTGACAGATTTGAGTTTTAATTAGTAGGATGCCGTGGACTTTTAAACTGCTTGAGTGTTGTAGTTCCTTTGTTTAGATATTATTATTGTTAAAATTTTAAATAAATATATTTTTTTATTATATTTACTTGTACTTTTTATTATATTTTAAATTATCGGATCTATCCAAATTTAGAAAGCATAGAGGATGATTAATATATAGTGACGGTGAGATGATTAGTGACATTATACAAGTTTTACTCTCACATATTACTTCTAGATCTAATGATCACCATTTTTTGGGAATAATTTTTTCTAAATATTATTATTGAATTTTTGGTAAATTATAAATTATTTTTTTCACTCACCAATTATTTATTGTTATCTTATAAAGAAAATATTAATTTTCAAGAAAATAAAAATTATCTATCAAGGATCTCTTTTTTGAGAAAATTACAGAAAAATATAAATTTTGTGAGGATTAATATTTGTAGCTATTAACAAAATATTTCCTTTGAAAAGTGAAGATCCATATTTTTTAGTATTATTGACTAATACCAAAATTGTGAAAATTTGAGAAAATGAGTTTTTAAATAATTTTGAAGGTTCCAAACACGCCTCCAAAAGTGTTTAGGTCTGGTTGAAGGGTAAAAGCATCATGCATTAATTATTTGAAATGTGGTTGGCTATTAATTCATAATGGTAATTGAAAAATTGTCAAATGTTGTATATGCCAAGAAAATCAGGTAAGTAGACAGACCTTTTCGATATTTTAGAAGATTGGTGTTTTATAAATGTTTTAGCATTTACTAGTTGTCTCATAAATGATATAATTGGATATCTATTTTTATAAAAATAAAAAATAATATTAGATATTGTGAAATTGATCGTTTTATGATTTATGAAAATAGAATTATTTTTTAAAATCGGATCAAGCATGAAATAGTAAATGATTTGGATGTTCAAATATTGTGAGTATTGTTAAAAAAAAAAAATTGGTATATTGAAAATGTTTTATTGAATTATTCGTAAGTAGAGACGTCATTCTAAAACAGACTCTAATATTTTGAAGTACTAATTGTAGTTATTATGAATATTAGTTTCGAGATTTTGTAATAGAATTTTCATAAAATTTGCTTATTAATGCGATGTATTATTTTAATAACTAATGTTTAGAGAAAATTGATTTAACAATACATGTGGATGGGATTTAACTCATGGGTGTGTGGCGTTGCCACGACTTAGACCTGATGGGTTTGGGAAGTGAAATTATACAAAAGAGATTTAATTCCATTAGGTGTTCTCATGACTTATGCAATCAAAGGGGTCATTGTTTAGCATAAGATCAATCTAGTCGGTACGAAAATTGACTTTTTCATAAATATGGTGTGGGATATTTATCACATTTGAAGTTTACGGAGCACTTCAAAAAGTTCATATATACATATTAGACATCATTTGAGTCCAAAAAACTTAAGTTCTTGAGTTTTTGGATCTTCTATGTATATATAAGACATTTCATTCAGATTTTTTAATGATTTAAGATTTTTTACTCACATGTGAATCATCTCAACAATCTCTTCTGTTCATTTATGAGTTCTAATCTAATCTCACCTCAGCTCTCTTATGCAACTAAATCTTATCAATACTTCTTTTGGGTCAAGCAAGCAACCTCACATCTTTACTGCACGTTTAGACCCAATTACAACATTAAACCTTATCACTTAAGTTATCTCAATACTCCTTCGAGTTTGCACTCCAACTCTAAGTTGATTTAATACAATTTGATATATTTTCAAATATTGTGAGTATTGTTAAAATATAAAAAATAAATATTAATTTGGTTTCAACTATTTTATTTTTATAATTATTATAATATTATAAATTAAATATTAATTTCGTTTAAGTTTTTCCCTTTATATAAAGTTGAAAAGAGTTTTGTTTCGAAAAATAAAATGGATACCTTTTTATAAGTGGATTTTTTTCAAGAAATAAATAGATTAATGACTCCTTAATTTTAAATATTTTATGATAATTTTATTTGATATTTAGGTCAATTTATTTTACTGGATTGACATTACTTGATTTGCTACATCATTTTTTTTTAATTACACAGAAAAAATAAAAAATAAAAAATAAAATTATAATATTTTTAAACTCCTAAAAAAACTCTATTCGCATGCATCAACCAGAAAATTGCTAATCAACCAAAAAAAAAAAAAAACCGCTAAGACCTCAATGGAAAGAAATTATAAATTTTTTAACATGAAAAAAAAATGAAGGTTAGAAGAGTTACATATGCTAAAATTTAAATTTAGATTTATTAAATGTTGTTTTTTAAAAATCATTGTAGAAATTAATTGAATTAAATTTAAAATTCAGTTATCATAAAATTTTAATATTTATATTTGTATTATGATTCGAAAATTTGCCAAAACATCAGTG